TCTAACAATGTAGCTAACATAGAATTTTTGATAGGTTCTAATGTCTTGATTAAATTTTATAATGGAGCAAAGGTGTTTGGTATCAGTGTATAAGTTTTTGCATCACATACCAACCAAACCTTTAGCAACTTCATCTGCATCAAAATGAGAGCCATTATTAACTTCTCCAACTGTACGCTTTCCTCAGTTTAATAATTGTGAAGTCAGATTTCTATGGAGTTTTGAGGAAAAATTCGGCCTTCTTAAAAAAAGTCAGTTACAACAGGCATACAGTACTTTTTGAGATATGAACCACAGTACTTTACACGAATTCTGGCCATGTGGTAAATCCAGGATTTCTGGAGTTTACTTGTCTGTATAATTGATCTTCTGCCAATCACTCTCTCTCTCTCTCAAGCTCACATAAATCGGAAACAATACGACAGCCAATAACTGCCTTATGATTACATGACAGACGTACAAGAAGAAGCAGAAGAGAAACTTGTAGGGCCAGTGAAATGAAACTGAGACCTGGCCAAACCATTTGGCAGTTGGGTCACTGAATATCAAACAGATCATCATTCCCTGTCAAAGTCAAGGACAACCAACGCATATCAGTTAATCGTATGTCATGGACTGGCCCATCTGGTGGTGGTCGCATTTTCGCTTGTACCTACTTTAATTAATATATTTCTGTAATAACGTCCTTTGTGTTGTACTATATTCAAAGCATTTATGGTACCTTGATATGACGGAGGGGCAATCCTCGTTAGGTGTTGGTCGCGAAGTGTTTCTTCGACATTACCCGTTGGTCGCAAAATTCTCGCCTAACACGAATGTTACAATCACTCAAAAAACCTTTTTCTACTTAAAGAAACTGGATAGCCCGATCCAATTTGTCTCGGAAATGAGAAATAAACCTCATAGTGATAACAGTAACAAAAGGACTGCAATTAATTATCAATTATCAACAGAAGACGTCCGTAAAGCAAACGGGAAGTATGCTTTAGTGTCAGTAATATAAACTTCGGTTACTGATAATGTTTATTATATAAAATGTCAGCCAGTTTGTATATGTAAACCACGAGACAATATATTATCTAATCATCTAGGGTTTCTGGCAGCGTGAGCTTGCCTACTCTCTCTATTCTGTGTTCGTGCCAGGCCAGTAATGTCATTTCGCAATCAGCTTGGTGGTTGCTCAAATACCCAGATGAGAAACTTTGTGCACTCAGTTAAAAACATTACGCAGATAATGTTCCGGTATGATTGGTCGACCTCTGCCCGTAGACCTGTCACATAATGAAGCTATCTCACCCATTTCAGTCTGCTTGTTTCATTGTTTCAGGCTTGTCGATGAAAACTCATGCTGAATATCTGTGTCCCCATTTCAAGGCTGGTCGAATTTAAGAATGTTGATCCTTTGGAAAATGTTAAATGAAGTTATACAAAATAAGGCGCCTTCCACTAGACTGCTTTCCATAGAAATGTGTTGTGTATCTGAAGTAAACTACGACGTCCGGTCCAGTTATCTGGATTTTTGGGCAGAACACTTAATAAAAAACAGGTTGAGGGAAAATTCAGGAGGATCAAGGTCAGTAAACAGGATGAATTCTTGGACTTCCACAGAATATTGAAAGTGTGGTACAGCCCAAGGCATAGTCCTTAGTCCCCTTTCATTGTCTTGCTAACGCATTGGGGAGAATGTCGTGAATCGCTACATCTATTCTACCTATTGTTAGAAGATACCTCTGACTGCTCAATTGACTTCGTCTATGTTGGGACTGATGAGTACTTTTGTGTCGTGTCGTATAAGCACTGGTGATTTAATGAAACTGTCCTTTACTGTCGTAAATGTCTTCTTTGCGTCGTTGCCTAGTGTGATGGTTTTCTCGTTTCCTCAAATTTACTCTGTTAACGGTTTCGTAACAGTGAATAATTCTCTGAAATAAATAGTTCTGTACATCTCCGACATTGATGGTGACCTTATTAGTTTTACATGACACATACTAGATGAAGACGCCCAAACACATGGCTGCATCAAATCATCATTGAGTACACCGTGCCATGCATCCATTGCAAAAAATTGTCGGCCCGGTCCATGAAATTTTCGACTTACCGACTATGTTCTAAATATATCTTCGAAATCCTTGTTTCCTGGTTTCTGATTTGACTATGTTTCGGATCCTCCAATTATGAAGGCGTTACGGCCAGAAGTGCTATCAAGCACTGTACATTCGTGATATTTTTAGTTTCATAAGAGACACACCATTCAGTATGAACTGAAGATAATGCCAACCTGTCCGTTGAGTGTAGGCGATTGCTTGACTATGGTCGATTCTGAGTTGTCCATTTTATCCAGGGCTATTTTTTTCGAGGGCAAATACTTTGAACGTCAATGGTATGTCCGGGAAAGTCGAGGTAGTTGGCTCCGATTGGGTATTTCTGAATGTTTACAGTCGTGTCGTTTATCCGGTCATCGGAAAACAAGGTCAATATGCTGAAATTGTGATCGAATCGTCATGATTATGTGTATGCACAAAGTTGGACCTTCTGAGCAAGCTGATGATCAATAGTTGGAGAGTTTCAGGAAGTTTTTTAACCGAGATTCATCCTCTAAAACTCTCACGGCATCAAAGAATGGTGATGACAGTCTTCAGGACATGATCTAAGGCCATAGGAATTTAGTTATGGGCCCTAACTAAGCGTGTTTTCGAAAAGGTGGTCACAGATTTCAACGTAGCTATTTGAAAGTGGATAGATGGTAACTGGTAACGATCAGAAGTCATTCTCGTATTAAAATTGCCAATAATCGCCGTTTAGACTCTAATCACTACTATACATTTTTGCAACCATATGCAATTAGTATGTATAATATTCACACGTATTTGAATTATCGTATAAACTAGGAATCCAGAATTAACGCAATTGAATCAAGAAGCAAGACACAAGCACAAACGAATGTATTATATTTGGAATTCGAAATCAAGCATTCAACAAGTACCAAGGTATCATTAGTCAATTCAAACAACACAGTATGTTGTTGCTAATTTTAAACTCACCACATGAGTGGATTGTCTTTTCTCCGGCCTAAAATTTCCATGAGCTATTTGGCTGAATGAAAGTACTTGTGGATTGTATATTTGACTGGAATTGAACATAATCTGAAACCAGAAAATAAGGTTCTACAAACGGAAAATTTCGTGCCCACCTGAGACGGATTCCATGTTATTGCATGCCAAAAGTAGTTAATACTAACTTTTTGGCTGATTTTTATAATTTAGGATGACTACATGTAAATTTTACTCTTTTACATTATTGAAGCACGGTCAACTGATCCACTCGTAACCTGCTACGCAATTAGAAAGAGAACCAAATCCCAATTCATGTACTAAAGCTTATTCGTAAATTACAAGTCATTAACACAAATTTTTAGTTTTTAGGTTTTCTATATACATCCATTAAGCTTAAAGTCGAGTTTTATGAACGAACTTTCAAACTCAATGGAAGAAGGCTCCCATTTCGGCTAGTTTCGAAGCGGTAGAAAATGTCCTTACTTTATCTATGATGTAAGAAAGACGGCTCCGTTTAACGACTACGATCACCCTTAGCCGGAAAATTTGATTTTTTCGTACATGTTATGGTGCTAACACCAAACAAGTTATTATTTTTCTCGAGGTGTCAAAACAGATCTGCGTAGTGAGTTTCTTCGGGTAGTCATAAACCGTCTGCGATTATTTTGAAAGTCAATAAAACATATAAGAATGTTATAGAGATTTGTAACTTCTTTTCGAGCCTACTGGGTTTTTACCTTGACGAAACAAACTTGGATGATAGAGGTATAAAAGTTCTACAACACCAAACCTAGCACATATAATGAGCGACGAATGAGGTGTAAGAGTTAACCTAATCAAAAACTTTTATTCTTTAACACGTTGCTGATTCACATTCGTATAGATCCTAATTTTCGTAAAAAATATCTCACTGACGTCTACTGAATTGTTCCACTTATTTCACTTATATATGTATGCAGATTGTGGTGGACCAGACGATATATAAACGCAAAAGTATCAACAAAGTTAATAAAAAGCAATAGCAATATTAATATATATCAGTTAAATGTTACAAATACAGTAAAAATGGGACTTTACTTAAGTTCACCCAAAATGATGCGTGTTCGGCTTTAATCTGGTACAATAAATCCACAATTATAGATGCTTGGTAATTCCAAACGTATCGATGAACTCCTCAGTGGTGTAATCCAAAGTAAGGTATGGTGTATTCGCTCTCACAGTCTATGAATGTAAATAATATTTATTTTAGATCTCAGTTAACTCAATTTCGAATGAAAATAGAACGAGGGGTGTGTGAGAAGCAGTGTATTTGTTAACCAGCAACGATATGTCACGCTATGTAGTATCACAACGGAAAAAGTGGTCAAGGTCATTCACTAAAACAACACGTACAGTCATTTAATGATGAATGTACATAGAGTGAAAAATTGACAAAACAAATACAAATAATATTAAAAACTATTTACAAAATAAGCTTGCCAGACCTATCTCCACATAGCTCTCCCCCCAGAGTGTCCGGAGGTTACACTGATTATAATAACAAAAAAAATGTAAGGATAAGATATATACATGTATACAAAAATAATATTTACAGTTATAGCTAACGAAAATGTGGAGATGAGTGTGACATGTAGTAGAGATGTAGCATGGCATAATAAACACACGCACACAAAAATGAAGACACTGTCATTTCCTGTCTTGGTTGGCTAACGATGATAATAATAATGTGCAAAACTGCTAATGACCCAAATAGAAATTGAACTGTTTATTTTTGTGTACAATAAATGGGTAATTAAATAGAATTTACTCGTTTATTATAGTAACAAAAAATTTTTTATAAAAAAATAAATGTGACAAAACGAATAATTGTGGAAAAATGTGATTATGTACACTGTGTAAAGGATAAAAAAATTTTTTTGGTGAGATTAGTAGTGTGCGACATAGGTAAGTGTGTGCTTTGTTTTTGTTTTTTGTTTTTTTAATCGACGAAATGGACATAACGCTTGGGTTTGTTTATAGGTCTGCCGGAGCGTGTTAAACAAGAAGGCTTAGTATTAAGTTTTTTATCTTCCACTGGTTTTTCAGTCACTGGTGAGAGGGGTTGATTGTCAACAGCGTTGTCTTCTTTGACTTGAGTAGCTTCATAAAAAGCAGGTTTGATTCTGTCTATAGAAATAGTCTGCTTGTTGCCATCTCTGCTGATGATGAAGTATTTTTGTGTGCGTTTAATTACTTTATATGGACCTTCGTATGGTTGTTTCAATGGTTTTTTAACAGCATCAACTCGAACAAAGACAAACACGCATGTTTCTAGATTTCTGTCGAGTTGTATTCGATTGTTATGTTCACGAGGCGTATGGCTTTGATCTGTTGCATGGTCTGCAGCAGTTGGCTAGCAAAACGACTTGGGTCCATTGGTGTTAAAGTGTTTGGGTCCACTAGTTGGCCTGGTAATGTAAGGGTTTTACCATGAACTAGCTCAGCGGCTGTACAACCTATATCTTCCTTTATAGTTGAACGGATACCCAGGAGTACAAGTGGTAATGCGTCACTCCATTTTGTCGTATCATCTTGTCCCATCAGCGAGCTTTTCAATTGGCGGTGAAATCTTTCGACCAAGCCGTTAGCTGCCGGGTGGTAGGCTGTTGTTTTGATGTGGTTCACGTCCAAAAGTCTTGTGAATTCCTGAAATAAGATAGACTGAAACTGGGGACCACGGTCGGTAGTGACGATGGAAGGTACTCCGTAGTTAGATATCCAGCGGTCGAGGAAGACTGAAGCGACTGTTTCTGCCGAAGTGTCTTTCATAGGGCAGGCTATGGCCCATCTTGTGAACCTGTTCACCGCAGTGAGAATGTGGGTGAAGGAGTTTGACGGAGGCAGTGGCCCAACTAAGTCCAAATGAATATGTTGAAAACGTTTGTCGGGAATAGGGAATTCCTCGATCAGGCTGGTAGTGTGTTTTTGGATTTTGCTGCGTTGGCACTGGAGGTAGTTACGTGTCCAACGTTTAACATCCGAATTGATTTTTGGCCAAACAAAGCGTTCTGTGATAAGCTTCGTGGTAGCTCTGATGCCTGGATGCGACAGTCCATGTAGCTGTTGAAATATTTTTCGTCGATAGGGTTGTGGCACAAAGGGGCGATTGTTACCCGTTGAAGTGTCGCAAATAATAGATGCATCTGAGAAAGGAATGGGTACAGGTTTAAGATTCAAGTTAGACTTCTCGTTGCAGACCTTCAAATCTACATCGTCCACTTATAGTTTAGCTAAAGCTTCAAGACTGATGTTGTGGTTGTGTACCATCATGTTGATATCCTTTCTAGATAGAGCGTCAGCGACAATGTTGGAGGAGCCTTTGATGAACTGGATGTCCGTAGTGAATTGAGAAATGTAATCCAGTTGTCTGGCTTCCCGTGGAGAATGTTTGTCGTAGGTCGTGTTGAAAGAATAGCAAAGTGGTCTATGATCAGTCATAATGGTGAAATCGCGTCCCTGAAGGAGGAAGTTGAAGTGTTTTACAGCTAAGTACATAGCCAGAAGTTCGCGTCCGAAGGTGCTATAACGCTCTTGAGTTGATGATAATCGTTTGGAAAAGAACGCTATAGGAGTAATCTTGTCGTTAACGCATTGCTGTAATACTGCTCCTACTGCTTTTTGGGAGGCGTCAGTGCAGAGGATGAGGTTTGTTGTGGGATCGGTGTTTAGGTGCTGTAGCATGGTAGCATTGGATATCATCAACTTTGCTTTCTCGAATGCTGTTTTGGCGTCAGGGGGTAGGTTGAATGTCTGGCTCTTCTCTTTCTTCGTACCTTTTTTGTCGGCTTTCAGCAGATCGGTTAATGGCTGTAATACTTCAGCATAATGTGGTAAGAAGCGGCGATAAAAATTACACATACCGAGGAAGCGTCGTAATGACTTCATCGAGGTTGGTTCGGGGTAGTTAGTAATATCTTCAACTTTCGTCTGAAGTGGTTTGATCCCTTGTGAGTCGATGTAATGTCCCAAAAACTCTAAGGCTGGGACTGCGAATATGCATTTCGAAGGATTGATGACGACGCCGTGTTGTTTAAAACGATCAAAAAGGATCTGGACATGTTGGATTTGCTCTTCTAAAGATGAGCTTGCAATCAGAACATCGTCGATGTAGGCAAACACGAAATCAAGGCCTCTTGTTACTTCATCCATGAAGCGTTGGAATGTCTGCGCAGCGTTTTTCAATCCGAATGGCATCCTTAGAAACTCAAACAAACCAAAAGGTGTGATTATGGCTGTTTTCTCGATGTCTTCTGGTGCCATCGGAATTTGATGGTATGCGCGCACGAGGTCAAGTTTCGAGAAGATGCATTTACCATATAAATTTAACGAGAAGTCATGTATATGAGGGATAGGGTACCTGTCAGGGATGGTTTGATTATTCAGACGGCGATAGTCACCACACGGACGCCAATCTTGGTCTTTCTTTGGTACCATGTGTAACGGCGAGGCCCGAGGGCTGTTGGATGGTCTGATAATACCAAGTTGCATCATATGTTCGAATTCTCTTTTAGCTACTTGTAACTTGCTTGGTGGTAGTCTCCTCGCCCTGGCGCTAATAGGTGGACCGGTGGTAATGATGTGGTGTTGCACCTGATGTGGATTACATTCCTTTTGATCATCTGATTTCGTGATGCATTCGTATTCTGACAGAATGTCGTTGAAAACGTTGTTTACAGGTTTCATTATCCGTACACCATGGATTTCATAGTCGTTGGAAGGTGTACCATCTACCTGTAAACGTGTATTTGCGTCGACTAGTCTCTTCTTGGTCATATCTACTAACAAATTGTAGGCACTGAGGAAATCAGCTCCGAGGATGGGTCGTTTGACTTGGGCAACTATGAAAACCCATGTGAATCGTCTTTGGAGTCCGAGGTCTAATATAAGAGATTGCTCTCCGTAAGTTTTGAGAATCGATTCGTTAGCCGCAATGAGAGACAGCTTGATGTTTGTTGTTTGTTGTCTTCGGGAGAGGTGAAGTGGGATAATGCTAATTTCTGCTCCTGTATCTACTAAAAAATCCGATCCAGAAATGCGATCCCTGATGTAAAAGAGTCGGCTAACTTGTTGGCCAGTAACAGACGCCGCCATTACTGTCTGGCCGGCTCGTTTCCCTGATAATCTGGCTTGTTTGTCGTAAAGTTGCACGGTTTAGTGCAACGACGTGCTTTCTCTCCATAATTCCAGTGATACCAACAAATGTCAGCTGCCCGTTTGGATGACCTAGTGCGAGGTCTGGACCTTGATCGCTTTCTCGAGATCGATCTGACAGGACGAGAGTGGATCGTGGCAATGGTCGCCTGCAACGATGCTACTTGCTGAGTTAAGTGTACTATTTGCTGCTGAATGTCCAGAGGGGGGTTTATAGCATCCCTACTAGAGGTTTGTATCGCGTAGATTCCGCGACTATCGGGATATAATTCCATCATCTTATCAGCCATGTCAGCTAAGTCGTCGAGGATGACAGAGGTTCCTGAAATACTGAGGATTTGTCTAACACTATGTGGTAACCTTTGTAACCACATTTGCTTAAGTAGCGTTCCGTCTAATTTGTAAGGGCCGGCTAGCTGTCGCATGTGTCGGAGCAACTGTGAAGGTCTCTTATTCCCTAGCTCGCGCGAGGTAAGAAGTTGTTGTAAACGTTTTTTATCTGACAGCGATGTGCGTTGGATTACTGCAGCTTTTATCTTGTTATAAGGGTCAGTTTCTGGTACGTTGTCAATCAGGTCACCAACTTCCGTTGCTACTTCTATAGGTAGTGCACCGACGACGTGGGCATATTTAGTCGCTTGCGAACGTATACCCCTCGCCAAAAATAATGCCTCAACTTGAGCAAACCAAATTCTAGGGTTGTTGACACCGTATGTTGGTAATCTTAGTTCAGAAATAGCGTTGATTGAGTTTAAAACATTATCTTCTGGCTGTGATGAATGAAAGGGGTTGGTTGATGGGCTATCTATATCGATAAGTTTATTAGGAGAGTTCATAATGTCAAAAACAAAAAATGGTGTCGCGCCAATTAATAATAATAAAAAAATATGTAGATATATATATTAGATGTCTATAAAAAAGACGAGGCTCACCAAATAATTGTGGTGGACCAGACGATATATAAACGCAAAAGTATCAACAAAGTTAATAAAAAGCAATAGCAATATTAATATATATCAGTTAAATGTTACAAATACAGTAAAAATGGGACTTTACTTAAGTTCACCCAAAATGATGCGTGTTCGGCTTTAATCTGGTACAATAAATCCACAATTATAGATGCTTGGTAATTCCAAACGTATCGATGAACTCCTCAGTGGTGTAATCCAAAGTAAGGTATGGTGTATTCGCTCTCACAGTCTATGAATGTAAATAATATTTATTTTAGATCTCAGTTAACTCAATTTCGAATGAAAATAGAACGAGGGGTGTGTGAGAAGCAGTGTATTTGTTAACCAGCAACGATATGTCACGCTATGTAGTATCACAACGGAAAAAGTGGTCAAGGTCATTCACTAAAACAACACGTACAGTCATTTAATGATGAATGTACATAGAGTGAAAAATTGACAAAACAAATACAAATAATATTAAAAACTATTTACAAAATAAGCTTGCCAGACCTATCTCCACAAGATGTATTTTTGATGACAGAAGAAGAGTAAGAGAAACTTATTGAATTATGAAGTTCTAAGAATTCCATATTGTATTGAACACATAGTATTGAATAAATTTATGATTTTATTATTATTAATAATGAGTGATTCAACCCAATTAATTTGCTTATTAATAATACTGTTGGCCTCATTATCAGAATATTTATTTTTCTCTTATCAAAACTTTCCAACTCTTAGGATTTATTCTGTGTTCTTCTTGACTACACTGGGTCACCTTTAGTTGGTTGAGAGAACAACAAAGGACTTATCCCCTGGCTAACTGAAAGTCTTACAACTACATTACCTGGTCGCTCTCGGTAAAATTCAATTAAATACCCATCGTCTCGTACAATCATCTAGCTGTCAGAGTTTGCAATTTGGAATACCACAGTTGTCGCTATGGTATTCCAAAATGGTTCTCCCTGGGTTTTTTCCGACAATTTACCATTGAGTCTAAAATTTGTTACAGCTCGGACTGTAAAATATCTGGTGATCGACTGGTCATCATTTGACCTTTTATAGGCTAAAAAGACTTAACCGATACTGATTAATTTATCAATTATTCACTGGTAAAATATGCTTTTAAAGGAAACTAGAGAAATACGGTTTTAGGTACATTTATCGTGCACGTTATCCACTGTCGAGTGCATTAAATTTATCATAATATATTTGGTAAGAGTGGTTTTATTCATTGGTTCTTTCAAATTTATAAAAAACCATATAAATGGTAGAATCGGACGTGATTGACACCAACTGTTTGTTCACGTTATACTCAAGAACAGCAAGTTGACTACATAGATAGTAACAAAAAAGAAAAACATAACAGTCGGAAAAAATGATGTATTTGATAGCACACAGACATAAACTAACTCGAAACTACTCAGCTATTTATCTAACTAGTTCGAAAACCTACTGAAAATTGATAACTTGATTAAGCTCCTTCAGCTGGATAAGTTCATTTAAACCAGCAAAGTTAGCACCAATGATAAATACTAACTTCACTGTATGTTTTAAGGCACCAGTTACTGATACAGTTAAGAAATAGTAACTTTTTAAATTCACAACCATTAAAAAACTTGTTACTTCTACTCTCCCTCAATATGTCCCTATCTTACGTCTCTGAACAAGCTACTTTCCAAGAACTTTTAGCTAAAAGAGTGTATAGTGACCTACTTTCATGAAGAGAACGCGATTGGTATAATGGAAACAATTATTATTATTATAACCAACTGTACTAGCGCTTGTTTTATTATACCTGTTTGCTTAAGTATACCAAAAAACACTCTTCGGTTGTTTGTGACCTTGCATAAACTCTCATACGCTCAGTAGTCTCGCTTGTAGATTTTGGCACCATCTCAGTATTATTTCGATATCATAAGATAGCCAACAAATACATCTCAACTAAAAACTTAAACCACCTTCTGATATTCGGCCTACGGAGAGATCTAACCTGGTAACTGGCACGTAGTCGATCTGTAGTAGTGACCATAGTCAACCGTGACTCGACGCCTACTACAAGTGTAATGTATGTTCGTGATAGTAAACTTAGTATTATAAAAAATCTCAATAAATTTTCAGAAATAGATTAAAATCTGAATTCTTGTCAACATGTTCAGACTTAGAACCTGTAAACTATTGAATGAAATAAAAACTCACTAATTCATTAGCATTATGTAATAATAATGAAGACTTATCACTTTATTTTTATCTAGTTTACTATAAACTGAAAATATTCGTATTGTAGTAAACAGAACACGCATGTAAGACAAAATTACAGGATTATGTTAATAAAATCTAACAATCAAAAAGTAAATGCTTAATTTGCAAAATTTCCATCGATTGTCTCAAAATAACTCAGACTTCATTATTCTTGCATTTTCATATAAATTGCATTTTGTTTCCATTCTTTACTGTTCGATCCTCTTGTCTCTCCGCTTCCAGACCTTCTGTTTACGACTAACATCATATACTACTTATGTCAATATAAGTAGCACACACCACAATATTACCAAACTAATACTGAATATGAATTTATTTTATCTATGAGCAAATTTTACTTTTGGTTCCCATCATATTAGAATATTAATTAAACATTAAAATATTCAAAATACTGAACTGTTATTGTTTTTTTTTGTTTTTTTATAAAAGAACATTTATCTACATAATTTTTTTTAATTTATTAACTGAGTAACCATGAGGTTACAGTTGAAAATGAACACCTGAAATATTTTTCTCAGAATTCTCATGTTTTGTTTTGCCTAGTACAATTAATATTATCAATATTTAGTATATAAAAAGCAATAGTCAACAAGGTTATCTATATGTATATTTCATTTGACTTTTACTTGAACATATACAATCAGGCTACTTTAATTCTCTAAGGGATGTACTAATATGCTAAATTTAAGATTGTATTCAATACACTGGCTGATCTATAATCAGTCAATATGAAACGGATAATCTTTGTTCTTAATCAAGAGACTATTATTATATATTAAAATTCATGTCATTTAGTTGAAAATGAAAAAAAAATACTCTCGAAAGTTTTCATTGATCATATTTTCCTGAAGCTATCTCAGAATATCTTTCTATGTATCTGTTTTTTTAAACATTCAATGAAATCTATGCAGCATTGATCAGAATCATATTATTATCAGAAGGGGTTTTGTGGAGATTTTAGTAATTTTATAGTTGAATTCACAAGTTACTTGAAGCTAGATCACCATGGAAAACCTGGAAGCACTGGACGACCGTTTCGACAATGGTGGACGGTAGCTCAATTTCGTGGATTGGTTGAAGCTAAACATTAACACCGTTGGATGCCGTCTCAATGGTCTAGAGGTTAGGCGTGCGCGCTCGAGACCAATAGGTCATGGGTTCGAATCTCGCGGGGCGGGATCGTGGATGAGCACTGCTGAGGGGTTCCATATTAGGAAGCAACGACCGTCCAGTGCTTACAGATTCCCGATGGTGGTCTAGCTTTAGTTGACTCATGAATTCAACTATAATATCATGTTACCTAAAACACGGTGTAGGTCCTCGGTATACTACGGTAATATAGGCTTTTGGTTAATTAGCCTAATTCACAGTCCTGTTGTGTGAGACTACCAAGAGAATTTAAGATATGCAACTACATTTAACCTAGCTAGTCATTCGACAAATCTACCACAAACAGAAGACGGGAGACAAAGTCAACACGAAATCCCACTGGTTGTTGTTTGAAAGTAATAACTGAGCCGTGATACGAATACACAAAAACACTTTTTATGAGCTAATGGCAGTTACATATGAAGTGTTAACAATAAAGATTACGATCCAAGTCAGGGGTGAAACAGTAAATCATAAGTGAAGTCCCATAGAGTACTCCACCGTCGAAATTTCGAATTGTTCACAGACCATAAACCACTTGTAGTGATTTCCGCAAATAAGAAAGACATACCAATTCGCACATTAAACTGCCTCAAAAAATTGTCGATGCATTATCACAAAATGGTCAGAAGTCTTCTCAATCCCTAATGTGTCTATCAGCGACACAATAAAAAACTAGAAGTGACCAACAGTTTTGAACTACTATAAATTGTAATGAAGGAACATTCCATCAGCTCAGTCAAGTGTGAAAAGTTCTACAGAGAAAAATGGTTTCAAAAATTTTAGATTCCCTCCATTTCAACCTCAATCTAATTCTTAGAGGGAGCTTTTTATTTATTCATTTAAAAGAATGATTCTAAAAGAGAAGGGGGAGGAGTGGTAGAAGGAATAATCCTGCTAAGTTGCCGCTTAATACTAAGTTCAACAAAGTGAACGGATTGTCGTTGGCAGAAAATATGTTTAGACGAAAAAGTCGGATTATGCTTAGTGGTCTGATACCAAGATAAATAGGATGAAAATTAATAAACCGTGGTTCAGTAAAAAACGCTGCATCGGAACCGTAATTTTTCATCCAAGTGAAGCAGTTTAACTGTGAAATTTCCACTCTTGCAGATCATAATGGGCATGTCGGGCAGGAGGAATAAAAATAGGAGTAGTTTCGTATGAAGTAGAAGTGGGTGAACTCACATGAATGAGACATAGCCATCATATAAAAAGACCAGATCTCGACAAAGCCGGGCCAATCGAAAGCTGGAAACCTTACCTGAATACGGAAAAGACAGTGAAATGATATTTTTCAGTGTGACAATATTTCACATCAATATGCCTTGCACTAAGAATGAGTTTTCTTCAATATAACAAGCGTTAACTTTCGTCGGGTGTGACAGCTATATTCTTTATATTACTCTGTGTAAACCTCGGCTGTATTTGACGGAAACCCTGTTTATCTTTCCATCTATTTGGTGTTTACCATTTAGTGATTACGTATGTGTGAAGTCAGCAAACAAATATTTGTATTTGATTTGACATTATCATATTTATTAAGAGTCAGTATATCTTCATTGCACCAATCTTTTTGTTTTCACTTCACATCATGGGAATTACAATTGTTCCCGTCTCCAAATATAACCAGTAGAATCGCGTATATTACACTATTGAGTGGCGATTACATGTCACAAATTACAGAAAAAAAACATTTATCAAGAGCGATCCTAAGTTAAAAGAATGGATCTTAACTTCATAATCTGTATGCATTATATCTGTATCGAGATCTGAACACGTTGACTCAATTTCATTCATAGTTCAGGAAGTACACTTTTGATAAAACACTATACTAGCATGTCATCTTTTCGATAAATTAAAACATTTCTCCAACTACTGTAAGTTTGTAATTGAATCTAAACTCCCTAAGCAAACTTTCCTATGCAAATATAAAACAACATTCAGAGCAATAACTTTATTTATCTGTCACTAG